ACCACTTCGTATATTTAAGTTATTTTTTGCATCTCTGGTTTGCTTTTTTATGCTAATTTAATTATTTTATGCACATGTGTCTGCATTCCGCGTAAACGTGTGACCAGATCGAAGGGTCAAATGCTTCTTCCGCGTCGCCGCCTTGTGGATTGCTGCTCGATCCTGTGAAATACCCATTATATTTTCCTTATTTTCCTGTAACTGCTGTGGTCTCTGCTTGGCTTTCAAATCAGGTACTGCCTGGTGGTGCCTCCTACGCCGTTGTGCACATTTCTAAAAGGCAGTGTTCACTAAATTCGCTCAGTTTTATTGTTTTTTGTTCACCCTTACGTGGGAGCTTTAACTGTACTGTTAATAACTTTCTACATCAATTATTCACTGTACATAACCAGTTTTTAGTGTAGGCAAACCCATGATTGGCCGATTGCTATGTGAATCCAGATTTTAGACGGAGAAAGATACGGTAGTCGCATGATGGTCTGTCCCATCTTTGGTGCTCAAGTCCAGTTGTTTGTCGTTGATGTAGGTACGCGGCTGTGTGAAGGTTATGTTCTGCGACATTATATGCATATGTCATATCTATATGAGTTTCTTGTTAATGATGAAGTTTTAACCAAAATGTTAGTCTGCATGATTAGGAAAGAACGAATTTGAGGCTGAATCTGACTAAAGGTTGTGAAACGAGCTCAACGAAACGCTGGTATTTCGAACTGCCGATTGAGTGGAAACAAACAGATAACTCACCACTTATATTCATCAGTTGCTTCTAGCGAGCTCATAGAGAATCGGCAGTTGGAAGTTGGATTTTCAGGAGCGCTCTGATTCCTCAACAGCAGGCAATTTAAACCCATGGTTGGGATTAGGCGCCAAGAGTAATCTCCTAGAGTGAGAAAAATCACGACTCTCAAAAGCGAGGCAACGACGCCCTTCCTTGTGTGTTGCCGTGTTTTCTATGGTGATTTTTGCTTTTTCTACTCATTGAGGTCCCTCATTGCACTTCTTATCTAATTTTCGCACAAAATATTACACCAATTCGATCCCGACCTGTGCCTTTAATCCCACAAGAAGCAAACTTCGGGGAAGTAGTACTGAAAGTAGTTAGAAGGGCAAAACTTGGGTAAAAACTAGTCGGAAAAAAATGACGCTAACGGAGAAAGAGATTAGAAAATAGGCATGGTAGCACTACGTGTAAGAAATTTTGCCGCGAGATTGCAATCGACTACCTGGAGCAACGCTTCCTACAGCAGCTACGCTTTATGGACGAGATTGCCTTCAAGGCCAGCTGTTGAAGAATCAGTCTTCAGTTCAACTGAATCTTCAAAATCACAACCCGTGATTCCAGATCTGCAAAGCGATTATTTTCGGAAATAAGGATGTGGCAACTTTGCCCAGCACAGAAGTCGTGGCACGGTCGCGCGACTATAAAGTAAACGAGACTTTGCCTTGACGGTTGCGACTGAGGAGGCGGTCATATGGCGCTGTCCTTCGCAATTGTTCACATTGAGGTGCAGTGTTGTAGTTGTCACCCAGACGCCGCCTCGGTCAGGTAAGTGGTGCGGATCACCCGACTCCTAGACCGTCCTTACTGATCAACGCGTCGATCTTCCTCTTTTTGCTAGCGTCATTTCCCTGTGGCCACAAAGTCTGCTGTCTTTATAAGTCGTCGCCATTTCGTCCAGGATCCACAAAGTCTGCTGTCTTTATAGTCGCCATTTCGTCCACGATATCTTCCGTCGTGGCTGTGACTCATTTTAAGTCCTTGGTTACGTCTCTGAACGTCCATCGCTGTTTCTTATCGGATGATCCTGTGGCCTCTTAGCACATGCCCGTACCATCGTAGACGCTGTTCCCGTACCTTCAGCTGGAATGATGCAGTCTGCATGACCGCTCTGACATCCTCGTTTCTGTCCCTGTCGAGTTGCTTCCAACCGCAGGCCCATCCCAAAATTTTCACTCCAGCGGAGCAATGCTGACTTTAAAGCCTCTTGCTTACGGTCAGCAATCGTGCTGTTAGCTCGTGGCTTAACTTTTCAGTACATTTTTTGGGGGGTGGACACTCGACCGAGATTCAGTGGTCTTACTCCATTATCCGTGATGCTTGTCCACCTACCGTTCGGCGCGATGTGCTCCCAAGGTTTGATTTGAGTGAGGTCTTTCTTCGATAGTTCCCCATGTCCATTCAATCGATTGCAGCTGCATACTTCTTCAGGCTCAAGATTTGGTCTTCTTGCACCTTAAATCTTAGTTCACCTTTGTTGGATTTCGTATCACATTTGCACTAATTGGCCTGAAATATTTCGATTTTGCGCCACAGTGCTACAACCGCATAACGTCAGAACCACGTTGACGGATGAATTACTGAAGCTTCGCGAGGCTGGCATGAACGTCAACAGGAAACATTTTATTAATGACGAAGTTATACGAGTAATGGTTGAACCTTGAAGCTGAGGAAGGACTCACCCCCTTCCTTCCCCCCCTACCCATACTTCAAAGCAACAGTCCCAGCAGGGTTTTTACCTTCGACACTAATGGTGTGGAACGATGCGCTAGCCCTTTTCAAGAACATAAGAAGTGTGACTGAACAAAAAACTTACCTTGGAAAGCCGCTAGAAAGGGAGCTGAACAGCTTTGAAGTGGGCGTGGTTGTGCAGTTCCCCGGCCCGATTCCAACACGCAGTTAAGCGTTTAGTTTTGTTCTAGGGCGGTTTCCAGGGTGGCTCGTTGGCGTTCAGTAATCATTCCTTATGTATCTGGAAAAGGCTGGCGCACGTTCCCATCCATTAGGGGAAGGTAAAAACCTTTCTGGGACTGTTGCTTCATAAGCTCGCCTACTGCTGAGATGTGGAGTTGTTCAAACTGATGGCGTCCAATCATCTATCAGCTCCACTCTGAAGGGAGTACCCCAACCGAACAGCCGTAAAATTGAAATCCACTACTATACACTGCGTTTCATAATTATAGGTCCACCCTAAATTTTTGCTACTCCAAAGTTGCTGTGCATTTTTTGGAAATGCTGCTATCACCATTAGATTCCTCGTCATGGAAAACCCTCACAGTGTTTTTCTGACAAAGTTCCTCCCTCAAGTAACCCAATTAACTTTTTCTGAACGAATTTTCACCGTTTCGTGAATATCGGGCTACTCATAAAAAGTTCCCATTTCTCGTGATCAGTGAAGGAAATAAGGGAAGCGGGGATATATCTGAGCTCAGTCGACATCGAGTTTACCGTACCTCGTGTTACTCGCCTCTCTTCCCAGTAACAAGCTCAAGCCAGAGCACTTACTGAAGTGGGATGGCAAAGGAGCAAAATTTCCTCCCAAGCCGGCCGGCTCCTACGACCTAAGCAACTAAGTGCGAAATCCTGGTCAGTGCGGGGAGAAGAGTAGCTTAGGTAAATGAAGACCGCGTTTCCTTCAAGATTTAGGAGGAACTGGGCGTTTTCTCTCGAATTTGTGTAAGGGGTCCGAACAAAGTTCGTGCTGAAATACGGCCTTCCGTGAGCAAAACCACCGTGTGGTGTGTACGTCAGCGAAGCAATACATCTTCAGCGGATTGATGAAGAGCGTTCCAAGATTATTTGAGCGCTTCAAGATCGCACGTCTCCATTTCAGCGTGGAAAAGGGCGCAACTTTATGAACGAAGGTTTGGCTGTTCAGACCCTTCGCGATCTTGGACTCTAGCTCCTTGTTTCGTGCTACAGGTGATCTGAGATCGACGTGAAAAAGTTTATTCTAGGTGGATCTGATAGAAAAAAAGCGTACGGGAGGGTTCCGTGGAAATCGTAGATGGTTTTGATGTAAGGTAATTTTGGCGAAGAATCCCTTATGGATTGAGGCTCTTTTGAACGACTGAACGAGCGGACTGTTACCATCTTTCCGACAACAGCTCCCTCGAACCTTGATTTTTACGCACGATAACGCGGCTGTCCATGCCGGTCCTTCCACGCCAGATGGAATTGTGGGAAAAAATATGGCAGTTACCTGGTGGCCAACATGTTAGCTGAATCAGATTCCAATAGAGAATCATAAGGCCTTAATTGCTATAAAGTTCCACAGCAGAGAAAAGCAAAATGGAACAACCGAAGAGCTGAAAACGTCGATCATCAGCGCACAGACAAATTTCGATCCTACTGTAATAGCTAATTTGATTACCAGCATTCCAAAACGTATTATTGTGTTCCTTATGACTATGGGAGGACCATCCCATTGTTGAAAATTTGTGACGTTTTTTTGCTATAATAAAATCTCTCGAAAAGTGATCTGTAGTCATATTCGCGAAACGGTGAAAATACGCTCTAAAAGATATTTTAATTATTCTTAATCGAGATTTCTCCAAAAATCGAGTATCAAGGTTTTTCGTTATGGGGAAACTATTGGTAATAGCGGCATTTTCCAAAAATGCACAGCAACTTTGGAATAGCAAAAAATTAGGGTGGACCTATATTTATGAAACGCAGTGTATATAAGGGCAGCGTGTGTCTGTTGGTGTGTGTGTGTGTGTGTGTGTGTTTGACCGGAAATTCATAGCTCGAGTCACAGTAACGATAGCGCAGTGGTTCTTACATATGTTATAGGGGGTGGGATGGGGACACAAGTGGTACGTGATAGGAACTGATAACGACTGATAATAGCTGATAAGAGGGGCTAGAAAGCGAGCATCGCCAATTTCGTTTTGCCGTTCATATTGGTAAGAGCGTCTATACTTACAAGTGTTATGTGGGGCGGTCCCGGGACATTGGTGGTACATGATTGGGAAGCGATAGCAATGATAATGGCTGATAAGGGTGCTGCCAGAACTCTGAAAGTCTGTCGAGTTCCGTTGCTGGACGCTTGATCAGAGCATCCATATCAAGTGTTATGTCGGTGGGGGACGGGGCACAAGATCAAATCGAATGTCAGCGTGCTCGCGTTTCTTAGAGCCTGCTTACCAGTTATTATAACTTCGTTATCAGTTCATTCATTATACAAGTGTTATGTGGGGTGGGACGGGGACATTGTTGGTGGGTGCCAGAAACTGATAACGATTGATAAGGGCCGATAAGGCGCGCCAGAACGCTGAAGTCGTCGATTCCGTTGCCTGGCTCGCGTTGACACCAGAGCAACCATACTTACAAGTGTTATGTGGGGTGGGACGGGGACATTGGTGGGGTGAGTGAAAGCGATAGCAACTGATAAGGCTGATAAGGTGCGTCAAAAAGCGATCGTATAACTTCGTATAATGTAGCGTTGCACTGGAGAGGTTCCTACTTACATTGTATGTTAGTATATAGAATTCATTCGACTAAGAACCCGAAACAAAGTTCAGCAAATGATAGGCTTCATCTCTGATGCACTATCAAGAAAACCCAAACTCATTAACCGCTAATCCTTCGGGTTCTAAATAATGATGAATGTAAATGAATGATAAGCATTAGCTCCTCACTTATGTAAATAGGCATATTTCGTTTTGATTTTGAGACTGACAGCAATCCTATTCACCGCTAAATTATCTTAATTCAAGAAAAATGCTGGATGTTTACAGAGTTGTGATCAATATACCAGTTCAGCTCAGACGTTATCACGCGTATTCTCGATGAGCTTCAGTGAAACTGTGGAGGGTCTAACACAGTCAATAGTGAGATGGTTAATGGAGTATCTCATGCTGATATTCCATGGGTCCTCCAATTTCGCTAAAGCCTGCCGTGTGATGCGCGCGATAGCGGGCGAAGCAAAACTGGTAGTAGGATAATTCGCTAAGTAGTCTGTCTGTGTGTAGGTGTATGTGTGTGTGTCTGTCACGAAATTCATAGCGCCCTTCGGTGTAACAGTGGAGCGCTGTATTTTGAGTATGTTGTAGGGGGTAGGACGGGCAACATCTTTTGGTGTGGGACGCAAAGTCATAACGTCTGATGAGACCCGATAAGAGGCGCCAGAACGCCATATTCACGATATCCATAGCGATCGTCCCAGCATCAGTGAGGCGTTGGTTCCAAGAAGTGATGTAGAGGGTAGGACGGCAACATCTTTGGGGTGTGGGACGCAAAGTCATAACGTCTGATGAGACTCGATAAGAGGCGCCAGAACGCCAATTCACGATATCCATAGCGCGCGTCCCAGCATTCGTGTGAGGCGTTGGTTCCAAGAAGTGATTGTAGAGGGTAGGACGGCAACATCTTTGGTGTGGGACGCAAAGTCATAACGTCTGATGAGACCGATAAGAGGCGCCAAATGCCAATTCACGATATCCATAGCGATCGTCCCAGCATCAGTGAGGCGTTGGTTCCAAGAAGTGATGTAGAGGGTAGGACGGCAACATCTTTGGTGTGGGACGCAATGTCATAACGTCTGATGAGACTCGATAAGAGGCGCCAGAATGCCATTCACGATATCCATAGCGATCGTCCCAGCATCAGTGAAGGCGTTGGTTCCAAGAAGTGATGTAGAGGGT